GGGGGCTCTTGGGGTTGGGCGCCTCCGGATTGGCGGCGCTCGAGACGCCCTTACCATCGCCGCTTTTCCTTTCCGTTCGCAGAGTCAGGCGTCGAAGCAGCTGTAGACCTCAGCACTATAGCTGACTCTTTGCGGGGCGACAGATGGACGGACACTTGGTGCCCGGCTGCATTGCAGCTGCTATGCATCCGTGTCTACCGGTCCGAAGACCAAAGCATAGACTGCCGACTATCAGCAGTATGAAAAGATCATCCGCTCCGAAGAGCAGCAACGATCACGTCAAAAGTGCACTATGCTACGGAAAAACACACAGGTGGGTGAAGTAATGCCTCCGTCATTCCTGCAGAAGATGGCGTCCCATCAACCGCGATGCAAGCAACGGTGGCCGTAGCAGGCAAGCCCACCCGACACCAGTGACAGCCTCCGGCGTCCCGCGAGGACTGACACCCGAAGCATGCAATGAGTCGTAAGGCACATCTATAGCTAAGCCTAATCAGAGCTCTCGACACACTCAAACTCATGAGAGACGGCGCATGTCACGAAAATCTGTAAAGGCACCTGAGATCAAATTTCGCGGCTCATCATCGTCTGCCAGAGGCTCAAGAAGCGGTGCATTGAATCCCAAGTTGCAAAGTGTGGCATAGTGTGCAGCACTGAGATGCTCGATGCCACGCAAGCAGTAAGCAACACAAATGACCCGACGATCAATAGATGTCTCGGCGCAGTGAAGATGCCGCTGTGCGTTGAAGGCGACCGGGCCTTCATCAAAGCTGACACGAATGGCACGATGGGTTTCGCCTGCAAGGGTGACCCAAGAAGCCGTTGAAGCATCTGGAGATTCAATGTATAATGCACCATCTCGAAAGTAAGTAATGGGAATAACCAAGTTCATACCGTAAGCATTGCCTCGATCGCGATGCCACTTCTGAAGGGAGCCCTCCGCAATTGTGAAGCTCGTGAAGCAATGATCCGGCCAAACATCACGGATCAATGTGCAAACAGATTTCACCAGGTCTGGGTGACATGTTGTGTGCAGGCGTAGAGCAGACCGGCCACCCATGTTGCACATGCCTGCTGTGTATGACTTAATCACCACATCACGCAGCGAGCTCACAGATCTGTCTCCGGGCGAATCATCAAAGTATGACACTAGGGCTGTCATGCGATCACTGAGCGGCGGCCTGTCTATGAACAACGGCTCCTCTGTTTCATCAGCGCTTGACGGGTCCTGAAAATCAGGATGTGCTGTGCCCAGTACGCTTGGCAATTCCAGCTGCCATATGTCTGGATCCACCCCCGGAGGGGCTGTAGGTAGCATGCATGCAAATAAAACACGATCAAGACTGCAGCAGCGTCAACGCAATGCATGAAGAGGCACAGCAGTGTGCGCAGACAGACGATACTTCACCCCACTAAGAGCCTGCTAGCCACGGTGTCCGCAATGCAGTGGCTCCGGTGTGGGCACCTATAAGGGTTCACTAGGTCAGTTTGCGGAGCTTTACCTGGCTTTCGACATGCAGCGGGCACCTTTGGGCGGAGCTTTTAGCTGGCTTTGACTCCGCAAAGCCAGCTAGAAGCTCCGGAATGGACCGCGGCGGAGTCCTATATGGGCACCCATGTGTCGCAGCTAAGCACAATGAGAAAGTAAAACAACATGCGATGTGGCGAATTAAAGTGAATGTCGGCGGCAACGACTCTTTGTCGGGATGCGCCGCGCTTTGCATGTAGCACTCAGTCTGAAGCATCATCTATGCGAACCGCACCTATGAGGTAGGCCCCAGTGGAGAGGTGTTCCAGGTCAGCTGGCTTGGGCTTTCGAGGCTTACAACCGTCATTTGTGACATGAAACTGATACCCTGAAGGGCCGCTCACCGCGGATCGCGTGGTGCACAAAACCGTTTGGTAGTGTCCTGCATGAATGGTGGCTCCGCAATGATACAGCATGCCAGCAACGCGATATCGCACCAGGACAATGTCATGGCTCACTGTGTAACATGGTAATGCAATGGTTTCACCAGCCTCGAACACAAGCGGCGCCGCAAACTTATGCAAAGGAGCCTGCGGGTCAAA